TTAATAATCACAAGGGCATTGGTCCATCCTACATTCAGTTGCAACCTACCTTAATTTATCAACTTGAACTAATCACTGTTTTCTCACTCCTACCACAACTCTGCCGCTTGGGTTCTATTATTATTTACCACTGTAGCCTTTGGATCTCTTAAATCTGAAACGAAGAAAAAGGAAGACTTAGGTTGCAACATAAATCATGACTCATAAAAAGTTTCACCATCACAAGACTGCAGTGAAACTTGTTAGCCTATTCAAAAGCTTTACCAAAGTAAGCCTAGACTGCCCCGTGACACAACATAAACATACACTTTATATATAGTAAATCCATGACCTTGGAAAATCCACTGACACAATATAGTTGTCTTTGGTAATCTTAGCCTGCCCCCCCCCCCCTCTCTCTCTCTCTCTCTCTCAATAAAAAACAATATAAAGGAGTCATTATTTTGCACCATGTGTCGTACAAGTCAAAACATTACGACCTTCAATATGCACTCCCACTCCTCTTGCCATCTATTTGTAAACCTACCTAAGTTCACTTCATCAACTATAGCACCAGCTGTGAAATGTTGACAGGCAATTTAAAATATATCCATATATGTTTGTAGTGAAACAGGATATAACAAGACACAATGTTCCCCAAAGTATAATTCAGAACAATAACTGAAAACAAGCACCTTGCTGAACTCTGTACAAAAATATTTATTATTTGTTGAGTCACGAAAAAAGAAAAGAAAAAAAAAAAAGAGGGAATTTTTTTACTGAAGTTGCACTGACGTATACTGCCATATGGAATGAAGACTCAAGTGATAATGAAGATTCTAAAATGGAATTCCCATCTGGGTTAAATGACATAGAGTAAAAAGCCAAGCAAAAGGGTACTTATATATGTCATAAATGAGCAATATTTCAACACTGTTGTTGCTCTTCTCTCCATTCTACTGTACATTAGACAAGTTATTGTTTTAACTAATGAAGTCAAGTATAAGTTACTCATCAGGGAAATGCTTCCTACTCCTCCTAAACTGATCACATGTAACTGAAAAAGGTTTTAGAAAGGCTTTTGTGATGTTATAAATTGTGGGAGTTTCAATAAGCAAGTCAGGCACTGGCTCTTAAAATAGATACTGGTTTCACATGCAATAGGAAGTACCTGCTTTGGCAATCAGTATTTTCATCTCCAAAACAAATATTGTAAGTTACCTTCCTTTCTGCTATGACATGGGTTTGTGTGCAGGCCTGTAGNCAGTATAATAACAAAAGGGCAAATGTTAAAATGCTATGACACTTCAGTTTAACTGAAATCCCTGAAGATGGCAGCAGATTATGACTTATATCAAGATAGGCCAAAGTGACCCCTCCTTCCCCTTCCAGAAAAAAATCAAAAGTAAGCCAACTGATAAAACCCCAGAATAAACGAGAAGTGTACGTTATCGATAAACCCCAGTAGTAAGGTATCTAACAGCTTAAAATTTTAATAACTTCCTTTCATCTTCGTTTAATGTTTACAAATGCTGGATTGTGGAACAAACCTGACCTTTAGAGAATAATCACTCTCAGGCACATTCTTCTGGTTCTCTTTATCCTTAAAAACAAAGTTCAATGTATTTGTCCTTTAAAGTTTGTTCTCATCTTAGAACTGCCCTAAATACAAACTGATGGTGAAAGGTGAGTGAGAACACAAAGGCTGAATGGTCTGCACTAAATTTTCTCTCACTCCCCCCTCCCTCTTTTCTCAAACAAAATTCTTCTTTTTTCATTTCAAAAGTACATCTCACTATCTAATTACAATATACGCTACAGAATATCGAATTCAGATGACTATCAAAACCTTCATTCCCTGCATATTTTCAATACAAAATATACACAAGTTGTTTGACATGAAGTCTCAATGCACAATGAAAAATCCATTCCTCAACCTTCATCTATGAAAACAGAGGTGCAGCAAAGTAAAAGCTGACACACATTTTGCATTCTATTAAGTCTTGGAACCACACTGACAGTAGCAATAGGAAGAATAATGAAAGCTATGCAAAACAGAATAGCTGAAATAAATTTCAAAAATCAAGACTACAATAAAACTAATGACATCTACATGTACCTGCAGACCAAGGAGTATTTGAAATGCCAGAATACTTTCGAGTGGGCAGTTCAATTTCACATCTCAGGTGACAGGAGCTATAAATAACCTGACCTTGCTGGTCTGGCCAAGTGGGCACTAATACAATACCTTTCCTATGTACACAATCAGTATAATACAGTCAGTAAATATTTATGACTAAACACCTGATGGTGAGTAGCGTTTAATATCTTAAATTTGAACTTTTCAAAGACAGATGTCTATTATAAACCAAAGGGCCAAGAATTGCTTGTGTTCCATCACAGCATCTCTATAAAAATTCAAACCCATCTGTATTTTCTGTATTATTATCCAAAAAAAGAGACTAAATACAAGGCAAATGATCATCTTTGTTAACAGCTATTGCATTTTACTGATTATACAGTTTTCCAAAACATGGGGAAATTGAATAAATATACTATGATTTAATATCAAAATCTTGAAAACTATTCTTCAGACACTTACACAGAACAGATATTCTAACTAGCCATAAGTAGACAACTACTGTACTTAAGAACCCCAAATCTGAAGTTCACAGAAATATCCTTCAAAGTAGTAAAACTACATAAATCACCGCAGTTCTTGGAATTTTATGGATATAAGAGCTTCTTAAATTGAAAACGAAGAAGGACATTTTTCATTTGCCAGTGTGCGCCACCCTGCCAATCACTGGACAAGAATTAAAAAGAAGGATCAAATTCTAAGCAGGACTTCAGGTTGCATTCCTTGGAAACGCTTTCTTAACAAAGTAGACATGTCAAAAAAACAAGTTCGAGAAAATCAATTACGCTAAAAGATAATAGGTTACAGGCATCATCCATCATCTACAGTATAATAACCAATCTAATTCATCGCCTTCAACCTCTTATGACTTCTCCCTTTGTAGAGATCCACTGTCAATTATGTTATAAATACCCAAGGAAAAAAACAACACTTGTGATGGAATAGCTGAATGCATTATATACTGTATATATTCATTTTCAGCTTTCTAGAAACTTTATCATCACAATTGCTCTGACAATTCCCAACTATCACAATGAAGAAACCTGGATGCCATATAGGAGAAAAAAAAATGCCTCAAATTGCAACTAGCATGGTTACATGAGTGTGGTTATATATGTAAGCATATTACGTGTAAATGTATACAGTTGCTTCGTGCATTTATATCTGTGCATCTGTATTTATTGACGTAATTCACTGCTTTCATACATGTGGTTTGCATATACTGTATATGAATGTATAATAATAATATTCAACAGAATATGATGCATGTGTTTGCAATTCTACAATCTGTTTGGGGGTGGGAGTTGCAAAAAAACATCTCTTTGCGACATATTAAACTGCATTCAAAACTCCCTACTTATTAGTCCATGCATCATTTCCAATAGACCTGACAGTGCAATCCTCCCCAACTCCCACTCTAACATGAATCACCCAGCTAGACAGCTAGCCTGATGCCTTCCAGGTGGAGAAACATTGCTTTCTACCTGTAAGTGAAACCTCAAACACCAACTACATCTTAACGCAACAGGTTTGCTTTGGGTGGAGACCCGATTCCTCATTCAAAGCAAAAAAGTAGACTGTAAGCATACCTTGATATATTGCCATCTGTTAAAACACATCTATATATAATGCAATACTACTGTTGTTTCATGCGATTAAACTCTCAACAAGTGTGTGATAGCCGTAGATTACAAACAACTACACCTGTGGACTTTCAAAATCGGCTCAGTTTAATAACCTAGATTCTGTGGATATTTGCCTGCAGTGACTTCGACACAAAACACAAGTCAGCCAGGTAAATGTTGATATCAATAACAAAAGAGGTGAAAGGTGATGCGGATATCTCACAATATCAAACATACAATATACGCCAGTCAGAGAATGCAAAGGGACACAGAATAGTCTGAAAATATGTAAAAGGTGATCTGGAACAATAATATGACCTTAGAGCAGGGTGTGACCTGAAACTAAAAATAAAATGTCTTAATATACACAAACAGGGTTATGTGGTTATCAGTATGAGAAATGGATATTACTTTGTGGAACATATAAAGGATTATACAAAGTTTATACAAATGTACACGCATAACTTCAATAGCTAGAATAACTCGAGAAAAAAAAACAGTATAACAGTTTTGACTCACCTGTAATCTACCAAATATTTCAATCACCCTTGGGAGTTACATTATCCATAACTATGTTGAATCGAGACATGATAATAATCACAGAGTTCTAGTGAACATGTGGAATTTTGCTTTGTATATGATAAAAGGTTTATATATTAGGGCATGACCTGCATTTGTGGAAAACATGACATGAACTTAAGCATATAAAACTCAATATATAAAACATGTCTACCAATGCAATACTGACACACACACACACACACACACACACACACACAGACACACACACGCGTGCAAATGGATTTAAATATATAACGATGTCAACCAGTGCATTACTGATTCACATGGATCTATAACATACATGTATATCAAAAATGGACTGATACACTTAAACATATGCATATGACTACTGTCATACATAATACACATGTGTACCAGTGCAAATCTGATATCACAAAACCCCCCAGTCTTGTCAATGTGATAACGTACGCACCACGGTACATTACACACATAAAATATTTATGTAATCCCATTAGAACCGATTTGGAGTACTTATGATACATCGTCATAATGAACTTCTAATAGTACACAGCACCTCCAGGTTAACACAGTGTTTGCAGGCCTTTAAGGAAGAGAGTAAAAGGTCACACATTTTTAAGCCAGTACAACACAACAGGCATCAACAGTTCCTCAATTTCAGTTTTTACAGTCACAGTAAAGCTAACATTGGTGCTTATAATTACTTTGTTTTAGTTAATAATCACAAGGGCATTGGTCCATCCTACATTCAGTTGCAACCTACCTTAATTTATCAACTTGAACTAATCACTGTTTTCTCACTCCTACCACAACTCTGCCGCTTGGGTTCTATTATTATTTACCACTGTAGCCTTTGGATCTCTTAAATCTGAAACGAAGAAAAAGGAAGACTTAGGTTGCAACATAAATCATGACTCATAAAAAGTTTCACCATCACAAGACTGCAGTGAAACTTGTCAGCCAATTCAAAAGCTTTACCAAAGTAAGCCTAGACTGCCCCGTGACACAACATAAACATACACTTTATATATAGTAAATCCATGACCTTGGAAAATCCACTGACACAATATAGTTGTCTTCGGTAATCTTAGCCTGCCTCCCCCCCCCCTCCCCTCTCTCTCTCTCAATAAAAAACAATATAAAGGAGTCATTATTTTGCACCATGTGTCGTACAAGTCAAAACATTACGACCTTCAATATGCACTCCCACTCCTCTTGCTATCTATTTGTAAACCTACCTAAGTTCACTTCATCAACTATAGCACCAGCTGTGAAATGTTGACAGGCAATTTAAAATATATCCATACATGTTTGTAGTGAAACAGGATATGACAAGACACAATGTTCCCCAAAGTATAATTCAGAACAATAACTGAAAACAAGCACCTTGCTGAACTCTGTACAAAAATATTTATTATTTGTTGAGTCACGAAAAAAAAAAAATTTTTTTTTTTTTTTAATTGAAGTTGCACTGACGTATACTGCCATATGGAATGAAGACTCAAGTGATAATGAAGATTCTAAAATGGAATTCCCATCTGGGTTAAATGACATAGAGTAAAAAGCCAAGCAAAAGGGTACTTATATATGTCATAAATGAGCAATATTTCAACACTGTTGTTGCTCTTCTCTCCACTCTACTGTACATAAGACAAGTTATTGTTTTAACTAATGAAGTCAAGTAGAAGTTACTCATCAGGGAAATGCTTCCTACTCCTCCTAAACTGATCACATGTAACTGAAAAGTTTTTAAAAAGGCTTTTGTGATGTTATCAATTGTGGGAGTTTTCAATAAGCAAGTCAGGCACTGGCTCTTAAAATAGATACTGGTTTCACATGCAATAGGAAGTACCTGTTTTGGCAATCAGTATTTTCATCTCCAAAACAAATATTGTAAGTTACCTTCCTTTTTGCTATAACATGAGTTTGTGTGCAGGCCTGTAGCCAGCAATTTCAAAAGGGGGGTTCTTTTTCTGGAAAAGTGGACCCTTTTCCATAAAAACTTCATGTACCTAGATCAAATTTTACCCAGAGTGGAACTTTTCCCAGCAAAAGGGGCGGTTCTTTCGAATCCCTTGAACCCCACCTGACTCTGGGCATGGTGTGTGCGCATGCATACATGCATGCGTGTGTGCCTTTGAAAGCCAATGCCTATGTTTATAAGTTTTATGAACCATATAATTGTTCCTGACATACAACAATTCCTACAGCAATGGCCCAGTCACTCAACATGATTAAATTAACCTGAAGGCATATAAACAGCCAGTAGAGACAGGGTTCCAAAGTAGAACATCATTGTCATAAAGGGTGCATTTTTCTCTCCACAAAACAAGTAAATATTCACATTCGCACAATTAATTATCATTCTCATTGTATTGACTGCATTACCTCATCCAGAGACTTGTCTGGTTGGGTCATATTGGGGTAGATCCTTGGTAAAGCACTTGTATAATGTTCCAACTATAATATATGCTATATATACGCTGAACAAAAAAGTATTCCTACCTTTACCTCCTGAGCTATTTCACCTTCAGTATCTATGACCTATAATGGTCCTATATAACCTGTTAAAGACTCCTAATTGCACCTATGACAGAAAAAAGTGATCATGAGCTCCATAAATATGCACAGAACCATTGACACAGCCACTTGACACCAACAAGTTTGTCTGGTTGGGATAGTGTATAATACTGGTTTTCTCCTTTGAAAAAAGGAAGAACTTTATGTGCTCCACTGCTGACAAAGCTGCAGTGAAAAAATAATTGCCATGAAATCCTAGTGCGCAGTAAGTGGGGGACTTTAACTATTACACAGACTTCATCTTGTCTCAGGTTACTGGCATTTTCACTAAAAAGAAGTCCTTAGCTTTAACAAAGCTAATTTTTTAAAGGCCAAAAATACTGACGAGAAATAGTGGCAGAGATAAAAAATCCCCGTCGCTTGGAGCACAATCTTTATCTTGGCAGAACATTTCACTGTGACTTTGCTGGTGGAAGAGAAGATTGGAAAACTTGTGTGCAACATATACCTGTCTGTCCACACAGACTTCTTAGTTACAGGGCAAGTAATATGTATTTCCAAATAATAACAAAAAATTGCTCCACACCATGTGTTAGCATGCAGATATGTCAAAAAACATGCAGACAATTGCCATTTGTGCTCTTACATGTCTACAAATCTTATGTATATATATATATATATATATATATATATATATATATATATATATATATATATATATACACACACATTCAAGTGACAAAATCAGATTGATTTCCATAGCTTTGATTAAACACACATATACCTTGGGGGAGGGTCTATGCTTTCATACATATCTACATCTAGACATTACCACCCATATCATTAAAATACCAGCCTCAATCTGCAAACACACCATTTTCTACAATAATCATATTTGAACTTAACAAAACTACAAAATCACCTTCATACCTTAATCCAATGCTTTTCAATCAATTAAGTCGTTCTAGTCGCCTGAAGTAGTCCATAGAGGTGTATAAATATAGCCTGCAGATCCATATCACCAAAATTATTACATCAATGGGATATTTAGGTCAGACACTGCAACGTCATGATGTGTTCCAATTGTACTCCCCTTATCTACCCCTGCGCCAAATCCTCATCAATGTTTAACAAGACAAATCCAGCTCTCTATTAATAGAACTCTTAAAAGTTATATTGTCCATTTACCTAGGGAGAGACATTCATAAATGTTTAACTACTAACCACACTTGGCTCCTGATTTTGGTTTAATTTCAGAGCACTTCACCTCTGGCCCTCTCATCACACTCCATGCAGTGACATCTGTCAGAACACTTGTATACGAAGTGACGCCAATGTCGCCATGACACAAAGCCACCGGTACCGCGTGATACACTTGCTTTATTGTTATATTACAAACAGAACGTTTATTTTTAGACACACTTTATCATAAGACTGTCCACTTGCGTTGTGTAATATTTCTAAATTGGGAGAAATCCTATTTCACAACTCCTATCACCTCGTTCAGAAAGTTCAGGTAGGGCAGGTTTACGAATGGCTAAATCATTTCTCTTCCTCCTCCAACAATAAAGAGCTAGATTGTTCAATTTATTGGGGAAAATTTTTCAAAGAAGCATACCTTGTGCAATCCCTTGAGAACAGATTGTCATGGCAACCAGACCAAAGGAGTTGATGGGTACAGGAATGGAATATGTATATAAAATCAATGACAAGCCGCTGCATCTTTTCTTTTTTTAAAACACTGCCTACCCAGCAGAACAAAATGAAATGGCTCCATTTCCATCCTGGGGACATTCTAATTGGAAATTGATCCACACTATCAAATAAAATATTTCCCAAGTTGACAGTTATACCTTTTTATTGCATTATACATAGCTTTCTATCATTTTTGATCAATATGATGCAGTTTAAAATGCTGTATTTATGTCCAACATGAAATGAAAACAGCCACAAATCCACTTATCTGTGGTCCATGGATTGGGATCACTCGCACAATGGTATTCCATTCCATTCCTTATCTTATATTTGTAAATTATATATAATTCCAATATCTGCTTAAATCAATGCAATAACAAGATAGCTTTCCAAACTAGTTGAACATATTGGCATATATATACATGTATATAAAAATAATCCCCTTTCCAATACCCCCCTCCCCCTCCACATACACACACAAACCAAAAACATGTTTCCAATTTGTAGTTTCTCAATTATCTGTGTGTAACATCCCCTTTTTTTTTTATGACAATGTCTATTAAAGAGTGACATTATGTTTGCACTGCTCCCTACAGTCCTATCAACTGGCATTTGACTATGACGCTACAAATAAATGCGTTCAGCTATGACATATAAGATAGGGCAATGTCATAAAAATGTAATGGAGAACCGGTGCAGGGAACAAGCTGTACCATACCCAAGAGAGGCAGCATGAACAAGTGATCTCCTCTAAAAGAAATTAATCCTGTGAATCACTTGGAGAATTAATTCCCAAATGCACGTCTATTTAACTTCAAGACACTTGCTCTGATGCAAAGAGGATTGGCATGGAATAAAAACATCAAGTTTTATTGGCAAAATATGTCGATGAACTTTTCTGAAAATTTAAATGCTAGCAATCATTTGTGCAAAACTGTCCAGGGAGAACGTAGTCACATAAAATGATGTGCACTTACATTGTTGTCATCTTATTTTGACTGAAAATATGTGTCATTTTGTTTACAATTAAGTAATGTTCAGTCATGGGAAAAAATTTTTGAACAATTATATACCAAAAGGTAAGTTTGTTGACCTAAATTTTTTTCTCTTTAAACATCTATCTTCAATCACAAAATTATAACTGAAGCAAGGCAACATGTTGTCAATCTCCAGGTAAAATATTGCCACAATTGCCATAAATTATCATTGCATCCCCCTAGTGAACAGTATGGCGGTCCTGGTCAATTACTCTGTAACAACATCAATAATGTAGCACAATCTAACACATGCCATTCAATCATTATCATGAACACTATGGATCGATAAGTCAACTTTACTGATGAAAATAGCAACATTTCGACTATCTTATAAAGAATTCTGCATGTTGCAATTGACATTAACATGCACATAGAATTTCTCCCCAAAATGTGACTTCAGAATCAATACATGACCATCCTGTTGCACATATTTCTTCATTTCTCTTTCTTAACATTGACGTTCCTCCCACCACCTTTCATTTATTCACTCCTCATTACACCCCACCCCCCAAAAAAAATATAGCATCGTCAATGTTAATGCTATCATTTTAATATAATCAATTTAATAGTAATATATCATTATTCTGCAAACCATTTTTGCAAAATCAATTCTAATGGCATATAAATATGGCATGTTTAAAGGCAGTGAGCACATTCAGAAAATGGTTGAGCTTTTTTCTTATAACAAAGGTTCTGTGTACAACGAGTACAAAAAATGATCCCATTCTTATTTATCATAATTCTAATTGCCATGAAAATGTGACCTTATATCAATCACTAGCATTTGTCTTGTTTTTTTTTTTTTGTTTTTTTTTTCATAATCTGCACACTTTTTTTTTATAAAAACAATATACAAAGCTACTTAACTGACAGCACGCTGATGACATGGTATATATCTATCTACTACTAAAATAAACTTCAACTAAGATAATTCAAGAAAAAAAAAAAAGACCAACCCATCCATTCATTCATAAATTAAATTATATACAGAGCCTATTTCTATGATACCATTAAACCATGTGCACAGAGATCAATAAGAATTTACCTTTGCCTCCCGTCTTTCTCTTGATTAGAAAGAGCTCTGGCTGCTTGTCAGCGGGGCTTCACCATTCACAATTCAAACATGGCTAGAAATAGAAATAGAAATGAAAGCATATTTGCCAAAGGGATAACAATTGCCTTATCTCAACAGCATTAAGCAAATGCAAAACAATGGGGAAGCAAATTAGCCTGAAGAATATTCAGTCACGAGAAAACCCTTCGCTCACTCCCTTTGGCCCAACAAGATAACTAATATTGACAATTGCAGCTCTTTCCTGGTTACAAGTCATGAATTCTTCCATCCCTGGAAAGCACTTGTTTTAAACTGATCACGGCAGTGACTAATACTGATTGACATGTATCATACTACAAACATGAATAAAATTGCTTGATTAAACAAATTATTCAGAACAATTTTTATTCATTAAATTATATATTACTGCTTTATTGTGATTATGAAGCGAAATGAAAAGGATTTACCACGTTACAATGAATTGAATAAAATGAATTAACAATGGAAAAAGCAATCATCATATCATGATTATCTACAGATTCAAATGAGATATGGACTAGACTTAATGAAAATATGCCAACTAGAAATAATCCGAATCTGAAAAGAATCAACAATTATATATAGGAAGTAGACATAAACGATATGTAAAACCAGTGAGAAATATGTTAGTGTGTGTATGTACGCAGGTGTGATATGCGTGCGCGCGTGTTTGTGTGTGTGAATTCTGGGGACAGGGCAAATATATCAAAATAATATTTATATACTACTGCCTGCACACCTAACAACTACCAAGTTAAAACCATGACACTTGCAATTGTGATAGGTGAGCCAGCCACCCTTCCTTTATTTCACATCCAACACAATTGCCTGATGCAACACATTCTTCAATCCAGGGAAGAAACAACAGCTGAACCATGGAAGACAGGGAGACACACTTAATTGACTGCCTAATCTCAAATCAATGAATCCTTGATATATTCCCTCAACCCCAAAATCTTCCCTATATTAGTCACTGCCAAAACCTCTCTAGGTCTTTTCCCTGGGAAAATCTAATTAACGCAAGAGCCTTCATCTGCCATTATGAGGTACATTAATTTCCTAGCTGTCATCTGCATAAAACTTTTGATGGAAAATCCCATTAGACTTGATATATCATTACAGTTCTGTGCTTGCAGGTTAAACCAACACTGCCAGCAACCAGCAGTGAAATCACACGGGGTTAACCTGCATATTGATGAACAGTAGCGGTAATACCAACAGGTTTCTTTATAAACCACAAAACAGTCATTTAGTACGCTAGAGTCCTTTCTTATTTTTATTTTTTTTTACTTGTTCAGCAAATTTCCTGAACTGGCATTTAGTAACAATAATCAAATTACTATATGTCAGCTATTATCTTAGGATTGTATCCTAGTTTTTAGGAAACCTTATTTTGTGAAAATAATGTGATCAGTGAATGACTTGATATTCCTAGTTTCTGAACATTCAGTACAAATTTACATTTAGAAGAAAGTTGTAAACAGGATACAAGGATTCATGGACATTTATATTGGAAAAACATGTTTTTTTTTTTTCAAAAAAATTTGATCAATGCATATCCCTGTCGCTGCAGGGGCCTAGCAATTAAACCTCAGAGCAGAGATTTAATCCATTTAAGGGTGCGTGTGGAGTCGGGGAGACCATCAGGAATCAGCAGCATTGCTTTTGAACTGTGGTTGGCCATATTTAGTCGCCGGATCAGTAAGTACTTGGATCATCCATTCTGAATGGGACCTAACTGTCTCAGACATTTATACTGATATGGTCGTTAGAGAGTTTGAGAATTATTGCAACCCAGTACAGGTTGTCATCACATGACCTGATAGCGGAGAATGCCTGCTGGTCCTGCATCCCCTTAGAAGATCAGAAATGTATCTGTGGTACCGGTGAATCCAAACAGTACAAAGTTTTATGTTTTTGTCCTGTGGCAAGCTCTATATGCAAAGAATATCCTGTGTTAGATTTTAGCACGGTAGAAAATCTTTGGAGAGGCGGGCCTAAGCATGATGTGTGTCATTTGATATATGCTGTAAACTGTTTATTTTCCTAATGTTAACATCATGTTATGGTTTTATTAACATATATGAGAGCCATATTGACTTGACCAACTTGAGTATAATTATGAATTTATTTCTGTTACACTGATTGTATACTTATTATGTATATTGTGAGCTTGTAAAATTACTTTGCACTTTCTGCTCATGTTGGAATAAATTATCTATCTATCAATCTATCTATCTATCTATCTATCTATATATATGTATGGACACTTCACACATTTATGCAATAACATAAAAATTTAATCACAACAACACTTCCTAAGCTTCACAAATATCCACCTCATAGAAGAAAATCCTTCCAAAATTAGACCACTGCTTCTGGAAACTTCAATTGATTATTTACATCAGATGATAATTCACCCATTATTTATCAAAGACACCCCCCTACAATCAAAAGTTGCACATATTGCAATAACATAATATTGTTATATAATATCAGTGCTGTATGCAGCTTTCAACAGCAATTCATAAATAACATAGCATATCTCATATTTGTCAGAGTATGCAACACCCAATTATATAATACTAGCATTATTTTATTAGTCTGTATTACCACATTGACAGCTATGCTACTCTTCAATATTTTATTATAAAGGTACTGTTCTACATGGCTACAAGGATGTTCGCTAAGCAAGCAATGTTATTGTATTTGCCTCTTTCTCACTTTATCTCTTTTACTTTTTTCTGGCCAATACAACTAAAAACAATATATACTAATATTATTAACATCACTAGATAATGGGTTTTTCTTCTCATGTATCTTAATTCTGGCACGTACTCATCGTTACATGCATGCTTCTGTACTTAACATCCATCAATAAATGTCAGCTTAACATCGTTTTTTTCTATCCTGCCCTAAAAGCTGGAATGCTGTTCTGATCACTGAACCTGAATGACAGAACTCCTGACATTATCACAGGCATCAACAGTAGGCCCAAAGCCATGACAAGGATCTATTACAGAACAGACTTAAATAACCCCTCTGATTCCATATTTCATAAAGAACAAATCCATTCATTTTAATAATTAAGTCATTTTAGCCAACTCTCTTTACTTCTTAAACTCTGCTCAAATTCAATCAATTATTCTTTGTTTATTTATTTTTTTTTATAAGTAATGCAGAATGGCCAATAATTTTGACATGCTTTTAATATCAGAGTTCACTGAATACACCCACTTTAAAAACTGACATAAATAATGGATTTAACAACACTGAGACATTCCTTAAAGCAACCTAACTGATCATCCAATATTAGTTTATGAATCCATAAAATGTGCACAATGAACTACAAAATTCACAATCTCATTTCAATGAAGTAGTCGCAAAAAGTGGCTGTGAGCAGAATTCCAACACAGAACTTACACTTACGCCTTACTTAACACCAGAGCTATGACACTGGCAGATATGCTGATGCTAAAAGGCTATCAGAACACTTGCACGATAAAGAGCAGCTGGAAGAAAATGTTTGCATATGAATGAGAATGAATTGGTAAATGCCGCAAGTTAACCAGAATTCATTTTTTTTACACCAGTTGTCATGAACGCAGAATTCACTTTTTTTTTTTACACCAATTGTCATGAATGGCAAGCAAGATAATTGATATTTGTTGCACTAGACTATGTGTTGTCTATTCAACAAAGATCTTTATTAAAAATTCAAATCTGATTTATTCACAGAGGTATGCACCTATGTCCACACACACACACAAACACACGCACACAAACAAACACAATTTTGAAAATGCACAATCCTGCAAGTACTTAAAGTTGGAAATGAAAGGCATGTCATCAAAAAGAGACTTAGAAAGTCATAAACTTCTGCAGATGGTAAATGCAAAACAAATTATCAAGTGCTGGTTGATAAATGCATCTTGCTTCAGACACAAAAGATGCCTTTTTAAGATACATCTTATCAATAATTGCAAAGAGATGTTTCTGGGAAATTTGATTACGTACTAAGTTTCTATTTCCATGCAATCAAGCCACTTAAGTAAAAGGCATTAAGAGCTATCCAACTGATCCCAGTGATGTCATTCATCACCCGAAGCCTAATTTTTTCAAGATTGCAAAATGTTCATTTAGTCAAAACATTATTACTATATAATTTTCCATTTTTTTGAGACAAAGCTATGTAAATCCCATTCATCTTGCAAAAGGTGTCTCTAAGACTGGGTTCTCATTTTCTTTTGTGCAGAAACAATCTACAGAATCACTGAGTAACTCTGAGGAACAATGAGGACTTAAAACGACACAATGGCTATGGTAGTACACTCATACCATACCACGGCAGCTACTAGTACCCATAATTTGTAATAACCTAAAACATTCACTTTTGTTTTCTGAAACATCAATCAAAGCATAGCTTGGACCTATTGAAAAAGGCCTGGGATATTAATGATCAATATGTTAATTATGCAGAATAACATTGAGGAGGTTAGACATCCTGCGCTACAAATGATCCATTATTAGCTATTCCTTAAGATAAATGATATAACCCATTTCATTTATATGCAAATTTTTGCGTTTTTGTGCGAGCTGAAGCAAAACTTCATAGGCAAGAGAACTCAGATATTCAATGGATACAGTGCATTTAAGCCATGCTAGATTAAAAGTACATGTTCAATAAAACAACTTTGCAAGTCAAGGAGAGCTAAAAACAACACTGTTTTTAAAATGTTTTACACTTGGCTGAACAGAAGGTGCACAATTTCACGCTGAAGTCTTTCTACAAAATGATTGTCTATTGCAGGAGGGGATGCCCTGAAACTATTGCTAATTTATTCACTTTTTAATGAGCCAAAAAATAAATAAACATAATAAAAAGAAAAGACATTTAGTCGCACAACTTTATGTTATGGTTCTATAGGGTGTAAAATTCCACTGGGGCTGTTATAAAACTGAGAGAGAAGGTGCAGAAGACTGAAGACTGATCAATACCCTTGTGATGCCAGCAGCCTTGAATGATGCTCTTGT